TTGTTGACGTGCTGGGTCGACCGGAGCGTTCGTCATCTTCAACGTCTTCGCGGCCATCTTGGAAGCGCTTATACCACTCGTAAACACTTGTTTTTTTCATAGCAGACTCACCATAGGCTTTTTGTAACATTTCACACACTTTGTTACACTTTATTTCATTTTTTACGCAAAATTTAATACAAATTCTTTGACTTTTCAATTCTTCCATTGTAAAAATCGCCGAGCTCAGAAAAACACGTCGAACCTTAGCGACTACCACAGACAAAGTAAACAGTGAATATAGCTGAAAATTTCATCATACTTTAGGGGCATGTATACCAACACAATAAAAAAAAAATTTTGACAATCAGACACTCCAGACCCGCGAAATTTAAAAATTCCGGGTACTTTTTGAACACACCTCGTATGTGTGATTTGTGTTATTACGATCGGGGTTTAAATTGGTAATACTTTAACGGTTTTTATGAAATACTTATTAAAACACGTTTCGATAATCTTGATATGGTACTTCGTCAGAAATACTTGAATAACTATTAATTTGTTTTTTTTGTTAAATTATTTTTTTTATTTACGATTTTTTATTGTTTACACCTTTGCTGGGGTAAAGGTGGAGTGGGTCCTTACAACGCGCCCACATGATAAGCTTCTATAGAGATTATATGAAAACTTCTTTTGAATCTGAGTTAAAAATAACAATACACCTTATAAAATAATTAAATTATGTATACTTAAAAATTATAACAAAAGTCTCGTGAACTAAACAACAGTACTCACAACCACAAAACCTAACAACGAAAGAAAATACTTTTGTTATAGATAGATTTTCTAGTTGACTTATTTAAGGCGAAGGCTGAAGGCACTTCTTTTGCCCTCTACTTTCAAATATTGTTTTTAAAAAATTCCCAACTATACTATACTTTTTTGAGATATTGATGGTGGATCTATTTATTCGCGAACCTTCAAGCCAAGTTCTACCCTATATGAAATATTTATCACTATTTATAAATGAATAATACACCGCGCATACATAAAGCTACAGGTTGGCATTTTGATTAATGTTATCCTAACGTTATTCCGACAAAGTTAATTCAAGGCCTTCAATACCAATTTTGATTAGCCTTAAATTAAATTTCATGTAAAATTACACGACGATTATATAAATAAATAATAAAATTATTCAACTGGATTTCTTCTACTGAAAGTATGTTTTATAACTTACCCTGATAGAAAAATGCGTGTGATCTGCATGTGGTATAAAAATATCGTGTATTTCGTCCATTGCATGGAATTTCAGTATGGGTTTAGTGCTGGGCGGCTTTCATTCTCTATGTAAATCATAGCAGATCGTTTGGTGCACGACATAGTAGAGACATCACGAAAAGGTCCTGGAAAAACGAAGAGTTTCTTTATTGAACGAGTCATATTGTTGATGTTTTATCAATTATATCGTTGACCTATTTATACTAAACAAAATCATTGATATTACCAAAAAGAGCATCTTATCAGAGGGCAGAGAATCCATTACAGAGAAAACAAAGCATAATTGAAATTGAATTAACAAAAAGATAAATTTTATGGCGTTATATTTCTGTTTATTTTCTAAGCAGTAAATACCAAGAAAAAATAGAATAAATCTAATGTATCTAGTATTTATCTGCGATATTTCGGAACTAGTTACGTTCCATCTGACTTTCCAGGAGCCAGATTGAGGAGAACTCATATCACTATCAACGTTATTAAAATTTAGTATTTTTCAAACTTTTGCAAATTTTGTTTGGTAAGGTGTTTCAAATCTTCAGAAAAATACTATTCAGAAAACAAAAATAGAATAAAGCATTCTATTGCTCTGTTCATTAGAGCAAATATTTATTAACTTCCCGTAGGGTAAGTTATTGTAATCGTCCAAAAATCGAAATTTTTGCATTTCTCGACGTTTTGAAGGTTTCTGAACATTTTGGCATACCTCAGAAAAAATGGATGTGTGTATGTATGTATGTATGGATACAATTTTCGGGCGCACGGATCAACCGATTTGAATGATTCAAAAAACATTCGATTCCTTGATAGGGAGATGCTGGACCTGCTGGACCTGCCTTTGCTTAACTTTAGCAAAGGCAGGTCCAGCAGTTACGGAGATAAAGAGCAAAGAGTGCAGATAATAGAAATTGAGTTTTTGAGAGGACGGAGCATCCGATTTGAATGATCTAAAAAACATTCAATTAGTGATGATTGGGAGAAGTGGTTATTAGTTTTTGGCAAAGAGCAAAATGTGCAAAAAATAGCAGTTTTTGAGTGAACTAAGCGTCCGATTTAAATGATTCAAAGAACTTTCTGCTTCCTTTATCAAAATAATTGATTTTCGAAAAAAAATGTTTGTTTCATTTTTTTTTATTTATTTATTTTTTTAATTTTTTTTTGTATATCAAAAATAATTCAGATTTTATTTTAAAGTTCTAATATCCTTTAAACAAATAATTTCAACTTTGCGATTCAGTTTATATAATTCTAATTCTAATTCTAAGACAACGTTACAATATTTATAATAATCTATTTGAAAACTTTTAATATTCCTCTAACATTTCGCTACGGTTTGGGAAGTTCCAGCAATTTGCCTTAAGGCACGATGCCACACACCTCACCAGTTTTTTTTTAACCAAGATTATGTTCTGGAGATGCCTTGAAATTGAAACGTATATAGTTCCCAAATGTCGCCAATAAATAATACTTTTTTAAGAAACTTTTATGGGTTTGTATAGTAAAACTCAGTTAAAACAATTTCCCAAGGACCAGACACAAAACGCGCCTCGAGATGAAAAGATAGTTGTAGAAACAATGGGGCAAATTTTCAGATTCTCGCGTTTTTGGTCTGAAAAATCGTATTAAGCATGATCGTTCTAACGGTATATATATAATGTGTGCCGATGATTATTCAATACTATTGTTAATGATAAATGAAAAATATCTGGGCATTATATGCTTTTATATCCTGATATAATATATTACTATCTAACGATTTTCGACATGACTTAACATTTTATGCTACAAGGCATGGCGTCTGTGCTTGATCTATTTAGTTTAATCTGATAGGGCAAAGAGTTAAAACATAGTTTTAGGCAAAGTTATTTGAAAAATATTTGGGCAATTATTTAGGATTGTTTTAAAAATAGGTGGATCTATTATGTAACCAAAATTCGTTGAAGTGAGTTCTCTAACAGAAAGTGCAATCGGATGTCATTATAGGGTAGTGCGGGGTACAAAGGTCCAAGTTGTGTTTGAGCAATTATATTGTGAAAACCATACCAATTATATTACAACAAATAACACATCTCAAACAAACAACTATCTGACTGTGTTCATTAAAACTCTCAGCTAATCATTGTTGAAATGTATTTTTTGCTGTTTTTGAAAACCGGGTCACCTGGTTCTTTGTACCCGATAGGCATGATATTTACCAGCAGAGTAGGAATAATTATTTATTCAATTTATCTTTTGTAAAATTGCTTTCTTAAACTAAACTTTTTTATTTACTATTTTTTATTGTTTACACCTTTGCCAGTTGTTTTTTTTTACCCCACCCACATGTAAGCTTTTATAAAAGATAATCAAATTTTATAAACGTATATTACATAACGTATACCTAAAAGCTATATTAAGATCTCGTAAACTAAAGAACAGTGCTCGCAACTAAAAAAACTAACAACGAAAGAAAACGCTTTTGTTATGGATTTTCAAGCATCGCCATTTTTCTCTCGATAGCGACGTCGTAGGAATTAATGAGATGCCTGTTTATACATCTTTTTCTTTATTAAAATTTTTAACTTTATTTGTTTTTGGGATATCGGTGGTGGACCTTTTTACCCGCGGACCTTTAAGCCCTACTCTACCCTAGGGTAGGGCGGAGCTAGTTGAGCAAATTTTTACTTAAACGGATGTAGCTCCTCAATAAATTGCTATACGGCTTAATGGATTTGTTGTTTATCGCTTAACAAAAGTGTTAATACTATTTTTTGGTAATAAGTAAAATTTTAAAGCTACAGCTGTTTAAATGCAAAATGTCAAGTATGCTCAATGTACCCCATAGGTGGGGCAAGTTGAGCACTAAGAAAGTATAATGAAATCATATTCAATGTCGATTAGTGATGAAATAAAATAAGTTTTTAATAACTAGTTCTATATTTATAGTCTTTATTGACAGAGAAAACAAAACTTATAGTAAATTGCTTTGAATTATTAACGAAAAGTAGAATCAACAAAACAATATTGTATCTTAGAAATTATTTTACCATTATATTCAGTATTTTTGTTTAAAATCATTAATTTCTTTATATCATTACTCATAGACTTAGCTAAAATCTTAAAAATAATAATTAATTTGTGGAAGTTAATGGTAATTGTCTTAGTGACAGAACAAGTTTAGCAACTATGCTCAACTAACCCCAACTCGGAATTTCAAAATAAAAGTGAGTTTATTAAAAAAATCGTGAGAATTATATCCAGAATCTCTGTGCATATTAAAAGCACTATAATTATATGGAAGAATAACAGTTACCTGAATAAGTAGAAATAACATTTGATTAAACCAGAAGAAAACTCGTGATGAGTTACTTTTTTACTTGTTGGTCTCAAAATAAACAAAACGCCCGTGAGCCTCACTCATTTGTCCAGCGGCCACTAGCGATCGCGGGATGTTTATTTCTTCCAAACCTCTATCTTTCCGCCATGTAATGCCTAAACGGACGGTAAATAGTTTTCGAGATATTTCGATTGCTCAACTTGCCCCTATGTTCAACTAGCCCCGCTCTACCCTATTCTCAAGATACGTTTGTATATTTTATCAATTTGTGACAACTCAGTGACCTATTAAATTTGTAGAGACAATATTTATCCCATGATAAGTACTTATCTGATAAAATCCGGTTAGGTTAGTTAAGAAATAAGGAAGTTGCGACTCGAGATATTTCGTAGCATCTGAATATAAACGTGAAGATAAATAGTTAATAATGCGGTGCCTGTGCGATGATGAGCTTTGTCGTATCGATGAGCTAAGGAATGTCGAGGCGGGTAGCCGAACGCCGATCGTTGGTCCTGCGGAAGGAGGCTCGCGAGACATCGCGGACGTGAACGGTAAACCGCCGTCGCCGATCGCTTTCCGGCAAAGTGGCGGTTGTCGCATCTGGGAGGGCATCGGTGCGCGCGCCGACGCTCTTTCCGTTGATCTTATAACCGCTACGAGTATCTACCCTGAGGCGAAATCAAATCACGAACAGTATCATACAAGTCAAAACCAAAGCCACAACCGATCTCTTCTCAAGAGTCACCGATCGAGATCTCGTGCAAGAAGTCGTGTCACCGATAATCATAACATCCTTATAATCGGAATGAAGAGAAGTTCTCGTGTAAGGTTCTAATTTTATTAACATGAGTTAGTTTGTTAAGCTCGGGATTTGTCGAGCACGTGGTTTGTTGTCTTACAATTTTGAGTGAAAAGTTCAGTCGATTCAACATTATCTGTTGAAATCTGTTGAAAATGCGGATATATTACAAAATGCAAAATTACTTCTGGTAATGTATATACTTGTTATTGGTAATAAAACTGAAAAAAGGAAAATGAGCGTAATTTTTTATAAGAAAACATTTTCATTGCGCCATTGTTTTTTTATCATTCCGTTATTTCGTCATTGTTTTTTATTTAAATTATTTATTATTTTTAACTTCCCGTAGGGTAAGTTATAGTAATCGCAAAAAATCGAAAATTAAAATTTTTGCATTTCTCGACGTTTTAAAGGTTTTTATATTTTATATTTAATACCTTAGAAAAAATGGATGTATGTGTGTGCAGATACAAATTTTCGGCGACGATTTCGGGAACACCGATCAACCGATTTAAATAATTTAAAAAACATCCGATTCGTACTGATAAGGAGACGTGCTGATTAGTTTTTGGCGAAGGCGAAATAAAGAAAACTTTTTTTTTCAAACAATTTTTTTTCAAAAAAAAGTAAATTTTTGTCGAATTTATAGTTTCTCAAAAATCTAATTTTTTCGAAGTAAAATTTTTTCAAAAATGTTAATCGTTTTTAATAAAATAATAATTTTTTGTACGGGAAGTTCCAGCAATTTGCCTTAAGGCACGATGCCATGCGCCCCACTAGTTTTATATGACTTTGGTTGGAGTGCAGACTATCTTAAAGTTAATCTAAATAAAATCTAAAGCTTTCAGATTTGTTTTAATATTTTAGAAACATTTAAGCCCCTATAAGCAAAAAAACTCAAAGATATCCATATTTAGAACCACTCTAATATATATACACACACCTAAACATGCATGTATTGTACAAAGTTGTAAAATGATAAATAATTCGAATGTTTGGCTTTAATATGAATTATTTTTGTAATCGGTTACAAATTATAAATATTTATTTGATTAAATTTAGATAATAAAATTATTTGAATTATTGATATTATATTAATTTCGAGAAACATTTTATCGTTCTCCGGAATTTTTTATCATGTCTAATTCTATATAATTTTATTCAAATTATGTATTTATTTATTGCTGAATCCAACTAAAAATTTATAAATTTAATAAATTTTTTAATTTAGAATGTTTATTTTTTTACTTCACAATTTTTACACGCCAAAATGATGTGTTCCAATGAACCCACTCACTTTATCTCGACATTCTCAAACACCTTTTATTATTATTATAATTATCTATATAATTGTACATTTTAATATAATTAATATGAATCTTTTTTGATTGTCAAACAACGCATTTTTTAAGTTTTAAAATATAGTGTAATAAAATATAATTCTACATTAATCTACTCATCTTACAATTAGATAAAATATGAAAATATACTTCAGATAATTTCAAAGTGTATAAAAATTATAATGTATAATTTTTGTCAGATTAGAGATTCGACTTTGTATAATGATAATTATGCATATCAATAATAAATTGATTATATTAAAAACTACCATTTATGCAACAGATTGTAATCTAATCCATTCCATGAGAAGCACTATTTTTTCCCACATGCTCAACAATTTGATTTCATTTTGTTTCAGCATACCATAAAAAAACACAAAAAAAATAATTTCAAATATCATTTTCGAACTCGATTTATCAATGCAAAGTTTTAACTGTTGCTTCATTTACTAATGAAGTTATTTGAATAAAAACGAATAAACGAACAAAAAACGACACAGTAGTTTTCAATTATAACTTTCAAGGCAATATGTGTAGTAATTGGTCGAATAACGTTCAGTTACTACACCTCATTGCTCTATTGGCATTCATTAAATGTAAGTTTGTAGGTTCACTTACATTTAAAGTTTTAATCAAAGTTGAAGATTTAAGAATCGTATTCTGCATATTGATCGCGACAGTGGTAAGAGGGTTGGTCGGAGATGCTAAGCGGTCACGAATAAACTCAACGTTAACTTATTTACCTCCCCGCCGATAATGTTGCGGTACCATTCTGTGTCCGTATCGACTGCACAACAGACTGATATCACGGATCATACGGCGAAATTATAGGAACGGTTCAACCTCCTAATCGCAATATTGATACGCAAACTCTAGCATTTCAAGATACACTTCAATTTAATTCACCTCCGAGAGCGATGACTTTATCGCCTATAAATAGCCATCAATAAAGTCGAGTAATGTTTATATTTAGAAATATTGATGAGATTGTATAACAAAACATTCCTTCATTAAAATTCATACCTTCCATTCATTGTGATTTACGAAAATTGGGTTGATGTAAGATTCAACTTGCAATTATGAGCATGGGCTCGCCCGTAGGTAAGCGGTTAAGAGCAACGGGACCTGAATCAGAGGTCCCGGGTTCGATACACACTTCGAGCAGCCTGTTGTCAGGCAGCAGTGACAACGATTTTTACTTGGAAATATAGATAGCAATATGTTTCCAAGTGAAAATAGCCCTTGCCCGGCATTGCTGCACCAATAAAAAGTCAGCCCTATTAGATTAATTCTAATAATAAAAATCATCAAAAATGGATGGATTAACCATTGGGTTACCATCTAAGAATACGAAGTGAGGAGAAATTTCAGCCCAAAAGCTCATAGGACGTAAGGTTCTGATTGCTGTTAAAAAATACAGTAGAACTCCAATTATCCGAACTCCGACTATCCGAATCGCCGATTATCCGAATCACTTCCAGAAAAAAATTGTCCAAAAAAAGTCTAAGTGCGCTATTATTTTTCCACCAGCAAAGCCAGTGTAGGCACATTGTTTGTTTTGATTTGACGGAGATGTTTACAAAACAATGATGTTTATTTCTAAACTTGTACATTTTTTTTTAACTCGTTTAAGTACATTTTATTTATATTTAAAACATGTGAAAATGTCATGTTTCTTTCATTTAATTCAATAAAAAAATAGTGCAATATCAAAACGTAACTTTTTTTCTGTCCAATGGCAATTTTAAAAAAAAAACTCCGATTATCCGAATATTTGATTATCCGAATGGGTCCCGGTCCCCATTAATTCGGATAATTGGAGTTCTACTGTATTCAAAAAAAAAATATGAACATGACTTGTTCAAGATTAGAAGAAAGTAAATGAATCGTTCTCTTGAATGATAAAAATAGCAATTTTTGTATTAAGAGTTTTTAAGCAAAAAGATTTTTTTCCCCTAGACATCTAGTGCTCGCGATGACAGTGCGAGCTTGACCCCTCGCACATCTCGCGAGCGTGCCGGTGACTCGAACGAGCACGCGGACTCGACCGCCCTGAGCACCCCGCCGAGGCGGCCCTTTTCCAGACGGCCATCGAGCAGATCAAGACCCGCCACACGTTCAGATGTAAAGAAAATTATATCAATATATATATATATATATATATATGATGATGATTCCACGATCAATATGTTATTTGTATGTTGTATGTTTCAAGTATTCAGCTCCAAAGATGGATACGTGCTTGGACGAAGATGAGGACCCGATTTCAGTCCCGCTTTTGCGCACCAACCATGAGCTCCGCCATAGGCTACATGACGAGGCAGCAGCCTACCGTAGGCGCCTGGACACGTATCGACAGGCCCAACAGCATCAAGCTGCACTTGTTAGTCGTCTACAAGCTAAGGTACGAAAAATTTCATCTTGCAGATCTCGATTTTGTAATTCGTTTATATTCGTAAAATAAACAAAAAAAAACCTTTAATATGATAATATATGCACAAAATGATATTTTAAGAGTAGATATTTATTAAAATTGACTGCTCTTAAAAATGTGGTACTTATTTTTCCTTTAACTAAACAATCTGTTTAACTAGAACAAAATAAAATTTTGGCTTTAAATTGTTTCACTTTCTATTCAAGGTTTTGCAATATAAGCAGAGATGTGCGGAATTAGAAGGCTTAGCAGAGACCGATGGCATTGCGCCATGTTCTGGTTTGAAGTCGCGTTCTTCAGCTATTCCACTTCCTGCACCAAGTGCAGCCATGGAGCAAGCGCAACAACATTTACGTGATACCAAATCCGAGAGAGTACAAGACCTTGAAACGGCTTTGCGGCGGCTTGATGAAGAAAAACGAAAGTAAATACTTTTTATTTTTTTTGTTAAATTATAGATACGTTGAAGCTTTATCTTAAAAAACTTTTGCCACGTTGGTGAAATATTTAAATTTTGATCACAAATAACTTCATTAACTTTTGCACATATTTACGTATTCCATTTTTGCAAAAAAGTTGCGAGCGCCTGGCACGACAAAATGCGGCATTGCGAGAGCAGCTAGAAGAAAGTAACAGAAGTAACGAAGTGTTAACAGCTGATTTGCAAAAACTTACTGCAGATTGGGAATGCCTACGCGAAGAAATGGCAATTAAGGAAGATGAATGGAAAGAGGAGGAAGTGGTATTTTAAAAACACAAACAAGAATTTCTTGATTTTCTGTATTAACTATTATTTATTTGGCAGGCTTTCAATGAATACTGTAACACCGAACACAGTCGATTATTGGGTCTATGGCGTTATGCGGTTTCTGTTAAAAGGTCATTTAACGACATGGAGGTACTAAATGACGTGATAATATTTATATAACAATTTTTCATTTTTTCGTTAGAAATTATTATATCAAAAATCGAAATATTTTTTTAGGCCGCAACTAAACGTGATTTATCAAGTCTACGTGGGGAAATATCTCAGGCTGGTCGAGACATGCAATCAGCTTGCGCAGCAGTTGCTGAGGCGCAAGCCATTGCCCAATCGGGCGCGCAGGCACTAAAAGCAGATTCTTCTCAGCTTTGTGACCAGCGCGCTCGATATACTGTTCTAGCTACCCAACATGAGGCTGTGCTTGCCGATGTTGCTCAGAAGGAAGCTCGTATACAGCAACTCCTTCGCGACCTTCAGACGATGGTCAGTGAACACATTTGCAGTTATCAATAATAGTTTTCTGATGTTTTTATTTGTTATATATTTTTGTGAGCAGGAAGAACGTTGCGCGGAGTCTGAACACGCGGTTGGTCAGGCATCGCGAGTGCATGCTGAAGTAGAATTGCTGCAGGATGCGTTACGCGATATCGCCCATGCCGTTTTGCAGGACGCAGAAGCTCCAGCACAGCCTGCACATATGCATCTATCCCAAAACGTTTCGATAACACAAAGGTGGGCAAATTAATATATAACATTATTATTAATACATGTTGCGTACATCGCTAAGAATTATATTTTTAGATCTCCGAAACGAGGAGGGCCTGGTTCCACTCGCCCAGCCTTTGCGGAGGGGACTATATCAGCCGTGCAGGCCGCATTACACAAATATCAGTTACTCATACATGAGTTACAGGTACATATACAATTACATATAGATTGATATCGCGCTGGCAGGAATGTAATACTGTCGATTTATAATTACTTTACAGATCAAGTTACACGCTTCTCGCGAAGCTCTGAACGCCCTGAAAAAGCAACACGAACAAAGCGAGAGTTCCAGAGTGGCGCTGAACTCACGAGTAACAGAATTACGGGCTCAGCTTGACGCATTTGAGGCCCAGAAAACTAGTATGATGCAGGAGCGCGACATGCTTCTAAAGAACGCCGATGTAGCACGGGCTGATAAGGCTGCTTTGGAACGCAGCAAAATTGAAATGACAGCGATGGTGAATGCTTTCAAAATTATATAACGCTAAAACAGTAATAGTCGAATACAATAACAATTATAGCTCATTCTTGTATTTATTAAAAATATAGATAGAAAATCTGAATAATGACTACGAGAAGCAACAGAAGAGCAACAGTAAATTACAAAAACTAGTCGATGTACTAGAAGAACAGAAACGAGATATTCAAAATGAATTAGATAGAGTTAGCCACGAAGCGAATAATAGTGAACTCAATTTAAGGTATTGCATTTGTGGTAGATATTTTTTTAAATTGGTATTAAAATGTAATCGCAATGTTTGCCTATAGACACGAAGAAGAAAGATCAAGTCGACTTAAAGAAGAACTTTTGACTCTAAGAGAAGAATTGAGTAATGTATACTTATCTAGGGATATGTTAGAACAACAAAGACTCGAATCAGATTCCTTAATTGCTCACATTGAAAAAGCAAAAGGTTGGTATTTGAGCTGCGGAATACGTGGATTTTGTGAACAAAAATAAAAAACTCTTTATGTTTTTAATCAGGTGATTTGGAAATGGAACTGGAACGAACCATAATGGAAAACGCAGATCTTAAAGAGTGTTTGGAAAAAAGCAAACATTCCGCGAGCGATTTAGATCAAGAAAAAAATAAACTTAATGAGCAAATAAAAACGGTAGAAATACTGCAAATATTATTAAAAATCATTTTATAATAATTTAATTAAATTGCACTTTTTCTAGCTCAAAGATGAATACAATAGCATGCAATCTTATTGCTCTGATCAACAAAACGATCTTAAGTCACTTCGAAAAGAGCTTTTAGCTGCTGAACAATCTAGACTGGAAATAGAATCGAGCAAGCTGTCGCTTCATGAGAAGTATAAATTCCTTGAAAACGAAAAAGAAAAGGTTAGTACTTTAAGTTAATGAAAACCGAAAAATAGATGATAATATATTTTTCAGTTAGATCAAGAGTTAGCTCAATCTGTAAGAGATCGTAGTGAGTTGAATAATCAATTGGTGATCATGACACGCAAACGGGAATCTTTAGGAGAAGATTTAATGCGAATTCAACAAAGACTTGAGCAAGCGAATGAAACAAATAGTCGTGTCAATAGGAACTTGGAGGATCTAGTGAAAGAAAATGAAGATAAACTGGTAAATAGATAAGATTTTATTTATTGGCAAAATTCCACGTATATTGGTATTATTTACTAATACAGTGTTATATGGAAAAAATCACTATCCTCACGTGTACAGAAAAAAATGATTTATCGTACAGGTTACTATCGAAGCTAATGAAAAAGAAATGCATCGTTTGAATGAACAATTAGCCGCATTGCGATCAGAGAAAGAAATTTTAGAGGCAACACTATTTGATGCTAATACCCATTTGGAAGAAAATGACATGAAACGAGCTCAATTAGAGAAGGATCTGCAAGAATTACTTCTTAAACATGAAGCAATGAAAGGTATAATAAAATTGAATATAAAGCTGTACTCGAATTACATTATTGTGTTGAAAAATCATTTTTAGGCTTGGTGACTCGCTTAACTCGTGATTTGGAAAATTGTGAGCGGCGTTCCCAAGAAATGAAACATAATCTATCAAAACAATTAGGTGATCAACAGGCTGAATACCAACAAACAATTCAAAATTTGAAAAAGGGCAATGAAAACAATTGCAAGAAGTTAAAGGAAGAAAAGGCAAAAACAGATTTTTTAATTACAATCGTTTATACTAAAGCATGGGTATAACATACTATTTATTTTAGGAACAAGTGCGAGAAGCACTCGAGAAACGTATGCAAGCATCTTTACAATCATTATCTAATGAGAAAAATAGTGAAATAGATCAATTACAATTACGGATCGGATCTCTGCAGAATCATATTGACGCTTTGAATCAGCAGCATGAAGAAGAACTCTTACGATCAGAAAATGATAAACAACAAGCTCTTCTAATAGGTACTACTTGTTTGAAATATTGATTCTTAAAACGATAGTATGGCATAAAATTAATTATACTAAATTTTTATTAGCGCATCATGACCAGCAAGCTTTATTGGAGAAATTAGATAATTTGAAACGAGAATTAGAAGCTGAAAAACAAGCTCTGGAACGCGCAGTGAGGGAAGCAGCTGTTAAGGCAGAACATGATAGAAATGCTGCTAATCAATTACGTGATGAAATCAGCAAACTTAAGACTAAGATGGAAGAAAATAGGTATATAGAAGAACAATAATATAAAAGAACATACTCTGTAACATGCCATATTATTGTTTTCAGAAATAAGGCATCAGAGGAATACATACGATTAGAAGGTGTAATGAATGAAATTAAACAAGAACGAGATATGACACAACGAGTTGCCGAAGATTTGAAATTGCAATTAAGTCTATGCGAAGACAAATCTGAATCAATATCGAGTCAGTTACAAGACACAATTAGAAAATTAAAAGAAGGTAAAACAATTCAATTATTACTTATGTTACCATGAGTGCCTAACTAAAAAACAAAATATATCTATATTTCTATTAATAAATTGTAGCCGAAAATGCGACTGATTCCGTACGCAAGGATCTTACGGATACCAGACGTCAATTGGCCGAAAGTAACGTGGAGAGAGATAAATACGGATCTTCTAACAGAGAACTCCGGGAGGCGATCAAGAGAAATGAAACCGAACGCAGGGAACAAAGTCGTAGCCTTGAAGAATCTATGCAAAAATTATCCAGTTTGGAAGAGACGCGAAATCAATTGGAACTAGAGAAAGTTAAACTGCAGACTTCATTACGGGAATCTGAACGTCTGCAGATTCAGACAGCACAACAACTAACAAATGCACAAAACGAATTAGTCAAAGCAGCTGGCGACAATAGTCAAAAGCAAGCAGAAGAAAAGGAACTTCAAGCCAGGTGGGTAACATAATAAGCATTTTGGCCTGAGTAGAATGAGAAATGAATATGTACTTCATTTCAGACTCAATAACGAATCTGAGGAAAGGGAAAGAGTACAACATGAGTTGCATCAACTCAAGAACCAGGTAAATATATTTATTAAATATCATCTTGAGTTAGTACGATCGTCTATAATTTTTAGATGTCGGAGTTGGATAATAATTTGGAATCGACGCGCCAGGAGTTATGCAGGGCTCGTGCAAGACTTGGTCATGAGGAAGGACGCTGGCATTGCAGAGAACAAGAATTGTTAAGTCGGCTAGAAGAATCGCGTGGTAGAGAAAAAAGACTTGATGATCAAAAGCATAATTTAGAAGTTTGTCTTGCAGATGCTACGCAACAAATACAAGAACTTAAGGTAATAAATACAAAACTGGTGAAGTTAGTTTGTACCATACTAAATTTTGCAATACTTCTAGTGCGTGTTAAAACTTGCGTTACTTTTATCATTAAATACCCAAGTTAAATTTAAAATACAGAAATTTTCTTTAAATTCAATTATTTATTGCGTTTTCTAATTTAAAATAATATTTGCAGGCAAGATTAGGCGGAGCCGAAGGTAGAGTGCGCGCGCTGGACAGTCAACTCACACAATCAGAAGCTACTAAAAAAGAAGTATGATCACATAAAATTCAAATATGCATTTTTTCAAACATTGCCAAATTATACACGATCATATTTCCATTATCAGGTGGAGCAGAAACTAAGTTCAGTCGGATGCACTTTACGTCGAATCGCTGGCATCCAGCTGGATGGATCAGTAAACTTGCCTTATCGTCTTCTGAGCCCAACCAGACGCTGGAGTCCTGCGCGCACTGGAGGTCACGAATCACGAGCTGGACAACATGCAGCAGCAGTTTCTAATGAAATAATAGATGTGGATCCTGAGCTCGTCCGAAGAGGTGTGCGTTCACTCATGCACCAGGTGGCACAAATCGAGCGAGAAAGGGTAGGTTTAATAATTGATTATATTAAACATTAATATTTGCAAGTATTGATGTTTTTTGTTTTTGTTTGAAATTGTAGGATGATTTCAAAGCTCAAATATCTCAAGCAAGAGCACAATTGAATGAAGCAAATGAGCAACAAAATAAAACGGATGAAAAAATGAAGAAAATGCTACAAAACTTACGCAACGTTCAAAATGAAAAGGGTAGCATTGAAGCCCAGTTGGGACAGAAATCTGCAGAATTGAACACACAGGTGAAATCACTTAACACTTACAAAATAACGAGTAGATTCTAATCAGATTTCTTTTTTTATTTTGACCTCTTCAGTTGACTAATAATATCAGAATATTATTTTATAACTTAACGATAATTTGTTTTTGTTTGTATATGCAGACCGCGGCGTTACAAGATAAAACTGAAGAACTCAACGCTATGAGAGAAAAACTGACGTCTTTAGAACTAGCTATCAGCAGTTGCAAAGAAGAAAAAGGACTGAGCGAGGTAATAAAATATCGAGAAAAACAAAACCACGCTAATATAGAAATTATAGACAATAATATTTTAATCTCTATTATGAATTAGGAACGTTTGGAAAAATGCCGCGCAGCACTCGCCCGTTTGGAAACCGAGCACAGACATTTACAAGATGAATTTGCACGTTGCGAACAGCGTTCTAGCAAACTTGAGCTCCAAAAAGTTGCCCACGAAGGTGATGTTCAGCGTCTACAAATGATGGTTCAAGAACGCGAAGCCATAATACAGGTAACAGCTTCTCGTATAACATACAAATATAATCATTTTATTTCATTATATTACAATGCATGCGATTGGTTTTTGTTTGAGTAGAAGTTGCAAGAACGTGTGGACATCCAATCGTGTACTGTGAGCGCATTGGAAGAGCGCTGCGGCTCTCTTAAAGTGACCATCGAACAGCTAAATATCTCGCTTGACCGTGCTGCAGGCTCTGAAGCTGAATTACGAGCTGAGCTGAACTCATTGCAATCTGCCCAGAAGGCCCATAGTGCTAATTCTCATGCTTTTACCGATAAACTTAAACAGGTATTCTGCAGACACCTAAATCCAGTTTATTGATCATATCATTGTTTTCATTTAAACTTTCTAGCTTCAAAAGGCCCTTCATGTAGCTGAGAATGAAAAACGCGTTTGCAGTGAAAGATTGGATATTGCACAGCAGAATTGTGCTGAATTGCGTCGCACAGTACAAGTTCAAAATGAGCAACTACAACGGCTCCAGACTGATCTTGCCAATAATGAAGTTCAAAAGTAAAGTATATACACATATACCTATTTAGGTTCCAAAGAAACACTTCTGAACCAACACATGTTGGATGCTTGTATAATTTATTTTTATTTTTTAATAATATAATTTGGTGATATAAGCATGAAATGATTTATTAGTACACCTATGTAATATCTGATGTAAGTATCTTGATCAAATAGTGATTCATATATTCCTTTTTACAGGGGCGCTTTAGAGTCTCAATTGCGATTAGCAAGTTGGGGAGATTCACAAAACCATGGAAGAGATGATGAACTACAAAGACAATTAATTTCTAATCAAAAAGAACGCAGCGAACTCCGAGGAAAAGTTGAATCGTTAAGCGATAAGGTAAAAGTTGAAAATATAGGTCATAAAACATATTTTTTTTAAATATTTGTTATATGAAGTGATACTGATATTTGTGATATTTAATTTTAATCATTACCAGATTCGGCAATTAGAGTCAGAAAAGTTAAATCTGGAACGCAATATTCCACAGCAAGATACATACCAGTATGGTTCATTAAATAGAAAACACTCAGAGTCTAAGCAGCAAAAAGAAATTTCGAGCGCCCGAGACGCATCTTCCCACTTAGATCATAATTATCTCAACCAAGAAAATAGAGAACTTCGCCAAAAAATTAGAAAACTGGAGGCACAGCTTGCCGAAAAGGTAATAATACATATAGTAATAGACAATATTCTAACTAACACTATTCAAATATAAAATGATATGAGATATAATTATTGTACTCGTCTTGGAGTTATGGTAAAGAACATGAGTTGGCAATCCTTAGTACCTGGTTCTACTCGAGGTTTTTCAATTTAGGCGATCTCGGTATCAAGCTGTAAGATACCAGATTTTCACTTTAGATCATATATTTCAAATATGATTGTAGTTTTGTTACGTAGTTATAGAATTTATTAAAACTCTCCTTCAATAATTCAGGTTGTTGGGTTATAATTTAACCCTTGTAGCTGTGGACTGTTGCAGTTCTAATTACAATCACTGATTTCTTACTAAGTTATAATGAAAGAAGATATAATAATTTTTATTGGTTATTTACATGTTGTTAAGCGGACCTGGGGTAGCAACCATTCCGTGTAAAGTTTAATGCCCTGAAGTTTGTCAACTTCATGGCCAATATAATAAAACGAAAAGACGTCCGAACAATGATCTCAAGTAAAAATAAATTTTCGGGGACATTAGAGTAGATATAGATATACAAATATAATCGCTATACAGAGGAAAATATTTAACCCCTGAGTTGCCTTCTCGTAAAATACTAGGTTAAGACACCAAACAAACAACTTAAAGGACAAGGAGTTTTGATTCTATTGATAAATATAAAAAATGTATATTATTATTATTTCAGGAAGCAGAGCTGGCACGTTTGCGTAGCCGTTTGTATGATGAACAACATTTATTCGACAGTAAATCAGAAAAAAATCGCGTTCTACAATCTCAAGCAGAAAGATTATTAGAATCTAGAGAGCAGTCTCATAAACAACATATACTACGACTGGAAAATCAGGTGCATAAACATATATAATATTTTCCAATATGAAAAATATATGAAAAAATCTGTTTGTCGCAGATATCGCTTCTGAAGGAGCAGCTAGCGCAGGAAGCAAAACGTCGTCAAATGTATGTACTGCGAAGCACTAAGGCAAGCCGCGAGATGCAGCAATTGCGCCAAACTTTGGGAGATTCCTTACGCCACGTCAGCCAGGAGCCAATCGACGCAATGTTATTAGAACACGAAGCTAGAAGGCTAGAATTTTATTATTATACGGGGTGTCCCAAAACTCAACGTCAAGTAGAAATATTTAACAAAATTAATAATTCAACTTCAATTTCAATAGTCTTAATTCTGGAAACCTTGGGGCAATCGTGTAATTATTTTTGAGAGTGGTCCTAGAAATAATATTTATGGTTCCAAAGTTCAAATTAACAAAAATAATAAAAATAAACCATAATAACCACTAAACGGTTACAGGTTAACCAAAGCTCTATTATTACAATTACGGTTTGACTTTTAAGTTGTACTTAAAAGCTCATAGTTTTCAACACTGTCCCTCCGTTTCGCTTTGACGTTGAGTTCTGGAACACCCTGTATATCAAAATTTTCCTTTTCCATTACTAAATTACTCTATGTCTTTTCAGACTGGACAGTGCAGTTTCGCTGAGTCTTCCATCAACAGACCAAAATACAGATTATAACATCACTCCAAAAGATTAATAAAGATGATAAAAATTCTAAAATTTATAAAACGTAGCATAAATGAAAAATTGTAGGATTTTTATGGTATAAGATAGTTCAAAATACCACTGCCATTTAGATATTTTCACGAATGTCATAACACCAAAACGCATATCAGACATTGCACTTAACTGTAACATTAATCGCTACTTAGATAAACGATAGTAGATAAGAAAAAAAAAGATATACATGTGTTAATTCTGCTCTTGTGGATTAACAAAACGTTTCTAGTCAATCCTAATCATTGATCCTTTGTTCATTTTAACAATTTCAAAGACAAATTTTCTTTTGAACGCAAAAATATACGATTATCAATATATGTCTAACTCCTTAAAGCAAAATTTAATTTTAAACCGTCGTGTAATCTATGTCATTAAATATTCGCTGTGCTTGATTTTATATTTATATATTATTATAAAATTATGAATTATTGTAAGTTCATATTATAAGTCCCATTGTTTTTATTTAGTTAACACATATATGTACTATTTATTGTTATAAAGATATAATTTATTTGTTAATATTTATTTTGTTTAAATCAATAAATCTATATTAATTTTGTGATGAATTTATTAAGTGTTTTATCTAAATTTCGCATGAACAAAAGAAAAACTTGAATATTTGATTGTGAGCCGTCCTAATAAATAAAATATCATGAAATAAAACGAGTTTAATAAGAAAATAACTGTGCCAAACCTTAATAAAAGCTCAATTATCTTCCTTCCATCATTTTGTAAGTGCCTTGTATTTACAGTATTGTTTTCTATATTTTCTGTATCCTGAAAATAAAATAAAATCATTAGTTTATTTTGTAATAGTAATAAAGTAGGATGAAGTGTGATTGTTTTGAATTACATTATATATCTTTTTAAAATACACTGATTTTGTATACGCAATACCTATTGGTAAGAAATGAGAAAACAATTTTAAGTTAACAAGTAATTTATTAACTAGATAACATTCAATTAAAAACTTTATAATATATATACTAAGCATAATGCATTTATCATTATAATGATATGTTTTAGAACTTCATATCCAAACAATTGGAACTATTTTGATTTGCAAGATGATTTGAACGCCTAATCGCACAGTAAATACATGACATTTTGATAGTATTTAGTAGCATTTTATATGAAAATTGGAACGTAACATAGCCTTGCTATAACATTGATCTATTGCTAAGTCCGATACAATAATAGTAGTAGTAGTTATCCATAAATAATAGCTTTCGATAAATATGGTTTCAATAGATTCATAACCACAAAATCCACTACAGATTAAAAATGACTCTCCTTTGATACTTTGCTTTTATATGTGAATGCATTGAGATAATAGCCATCGTATGTGCAAAGTTCGTAGAATTTAATCCCATACTTATTTTTTGCAGCATTATTGACTCATCTAATGGTAAACTTTCTCTAGGCTTTATATGCGACTTGAAACGAACCATTTACAAGTTTCAGAAAATTAAAATCCTTAGATAGTCTGTCATTTATTGCTACGGATTCACAGTTCAAACAACGCAACAGCTGTTCTAATCTCCTAAATTTGGATGGTAATATGATAGAGCAAGTTTGAACAAACTTCTGGCGTCAGTATTGGAGACTGCAACAAACAAAGCCCAAAAAATACTTTTGTTTCATCAAGATTCGTTTTTTTGAAGCTTTGTAATTTGTTTTCATAATTATTTGTGCATCAAATAATTAAATCCATTTTTATTTGATTCCAAATTTTATCGAAAATCTCCTTCGGCGTTTTACAGTTTATAACATCATTAGCTATACCCACTGAAGACCAACCAAAGTCTTGAATATCTGTAGTATCTTCATTCCATAGCGTGTCTGAGTTATGTATCACATTTTCAATATTGACATTGGCAGTATTCACCAAATCAGAAGATGATGATGTTGAAAAATTAGGGGTACTCTTCCGTGCATTTTCATTCAATAAATCCTAGTCCAAAACCTATCACAAAACTCTTCTTTAAATTCATTTCTTTCATTTTCAATTATTTCAATAATACACTTACCTGTATCTTCATCTAAATCAGTGTCACTGAAAAATTCCAAAACCCGTCTACGCTTCTTATATGAAATCATTTTTCTTCGTAAATCGAAAAACTGGTGTTTTCACTTTGATCTCAAATATCACAGTAAACCATTGTACCATGTAGAATTTTTGCGACGCTTTGATTGTTTTTCACAACAATACCTTGTGCGAAATTGTCGTAAATTCATTGCTCGATGCAAATGCTATAGCATCCACGTCATTATGATAAGATGATACAAAAATACCTAAAGAATCAGTTATTCATTACCTTGACAGGTAAAATAATTACAAAAACGTAAGGTTATAAAAGATAATTGACTTGATAATTTGAATGCTATAGCATTCATGCCATGCTGCACCACAATGAAAATGAATGCTATAGCATTCGAGTCCGCGAACGTGTTAAGATAATGCAATCGGTTAAAATGGCGTTTCGAGACGATTCAGCTCGGTTTAGTTCAGTTCTGACAGTTCGGTTTTTCGTATAGTCGTATTCGTATTCGGGCGTGCAGAAACGTAGAGCGTCCGTAGCATCGTCCGTAACGTAGCATCGTTCGTAGTCGCAGTCGTAGCCGTAGTTCGTAGCGGCCATAGTGAGAGAGCGCAGATCGGTGCGAAGCGATGATGCCAATGCCTGCGCTGTATAAAGCACTCACGAAAAATACAAGCATTTTCAAGATATTGATTTTTCAGAAACATTCGTTGAACCAATCACGAAGTTGTGAATATTTTTATAGGGTGAGGTTTTGATGGTGTATTCTGTCAGTTAAGGATTTTTATGGAACAAAATGTATTAAAATAAGTTGTGACTGCGTTAGTTAAAGTGTCTGTGATATAGTTTCGTGACAATTAGTACATGGTTTGTGATAATTTCTACAGTAAAAGCATCAATGCAAGTTGCTACATTATTTAGGGAAACGGCTACCCTTCTCGGTGCTAGTATGGAACCAGGAGGAGGCCTGCAAGATGTTCAAGGAATGCCAATGGGCATGAATTCAAATGAAAACATGCCCGTATTAGACACACAAATGCATCATCCTTATAAAATGTGAGATATCTTTGTTTACAATTTATCTTATACGCTTTATATCAACTGTCATTATGTCATTGCTCCGAATTGTGTTGAGATAGCACATACTGATAAGCAAAAGCTCATATCGGATTTTCAAGATATTTACATTGTTACAGTTCATTATTTAACAATCTTTATGCAAAATATCTTTTCTAAAAGGATGTACACGTATGTAAACATATATACTCTAACAGAATCATTTTAGAAGACTCTAGAAAATATAGTACCTGTATGTATACATACCTACATACATATGTATATATATATATATATATATATATATATGTGTGTGTGTGTGTATGTGTGTTTCTTTTTATAGTGTTTTCCACCATAACAATTTTAATAAAAATATAATAATATATAATTATAAATACATATCTGAGTATACACACTATATATATATATATATATATATATATATATATCTATATATCTATATATATATTAAAATTTTGATAATTTGGATGTTGAGATATGTGAGAATCAGTCTTCAGGGCAATACATCAATTAAAAACTTGTATGACTTTTAAAACATTTTTATTGTTTCCATACGTTTCGACACATTGTTTCGTGCCATATTCAATGGACTCTAGTTTGAAAGCACAGATAGAAATTATTAATTAAAACTAATTTATAAGAAATTTTCTTATAAATTAGTTTTAATTAATAATTTTTATCTGTGCTTTCAAACTAGAGTCCACTGAAGATGACACAAAACAATGTGTCGAAACGTATGGAAACAATAAAAATGTTATAAGTTCATACAAGTTTTTAATTGATGTATTGCCCTGAAGACTGATTCTCATATATATATATATATACAAATCCAGGATTTTTCAATAAATTATTCATATATTTTTTTTCCGAACAATTAATCCAATAAATAAAAAAAACTATTAGTTTTTAGTATATGTTTAATTACGTTTCGGAACTATAAACGTTCCACCATCTGACAATTTATTTTTGAAAGAAAAACCTGATGTTGTTGGAATGTATGTAGTTCCGAAACGTCGTAATTAAACATCTGCAAAAACTAATTGATTTTTATTTATTAGCATAGATAAAGAAATATATTATTTATTGGATTATTTGTTCAGAAAAGAATCATATAAACATATAGGTACATATATACACACATACAATTATATCAAACAAGTGTTGCAGAGTGAGTTTTATTGTTGCCATGTTATAATGATGAGTGAAGTGAAAATATATTTGTAGTGGCATAAATGGTTCGAAATATTATAAATTTTTAAGCTTCACTTATATTTAGTAAATTTATTTATTAATAATAATAAATTTATATATTATTCAAATAAATTACACGATTTTAGAGATTGTTAGACTTTTATTGCACGTACTCGCGATTTCCATTTTGCATTATAAATTATAAGATATTTGAAAAAATAAGATCTATTACGTATATGCCGCACAAAAATTTTAGAATCTATAATTTGGTACTCTACTATTTCATTATTTTAATTTTAAAAGAATTTATTGAAACCTTCAATAATTTTGCCAGGGATACGTTTATATTAACAAACCCATATAATAATAATATTTATTTTAAATATTTATCTATAAATATTTATTTTAAAAATACTCGTGTTTATAATTAAACAATTAATTTTGATATTATTATTACATTTAGAAATTACTAAATACGATTTAAATTTATTTGTATTTACAGAATTTTAATTTTGTTGAAGTTTCGCTATACAAATATTTTTACTTTGTAATTATTTAAGGCAATTTAAATGCCCAGATTGCATATAAATATATACTTAAATTTGAGTACATATATTTGAGACGATTTCCCAGGCATCAAACCAAAAACATTTCCTATACTTAAGTA